CCAATCGGACGCCGCCTGTCACAGCCTGCATCAACGGATGGAAAAGCCAATCGTGGAGCTGCGAGGACAAAGCTCATACGTTTGTGCAAATTAGGTTTATTTTAAATACATGTACAACGAAATAATTTGTCATTTGATTCATACAATGCTTGCGTCTTCAGCATCCTGCAGGAGGAGGTGAACGCTTACTTTCCATGAAGGCTGACAGCTGTTTACATGTTCTGATCAAAGCCAGTCGTAAACCGACCGTCTTCCCCCTGCTTTACTGACAGACGTTTGCTTACATCAGCAGGCCGCAGTTTAACAATGAAGTTGATTTAATGAACACGAACTAACCAAAAAAATTCAACTCACTCATCAAAAAGGGATTTAGCGGTGACTGCGTGATGTGGAGACAGTCAGAGGTATCATCATTACAGCTGGACTCATCAATATTTTTACAATAACAATCAGAATACTGTGTTTGTGTGTGTGGTGCTCATGGCAATTTACAGAAATGTTTCCGTCTATTGTGGCTCCTCATAGTTCTGCGGGCTGTTTTAGTGTCTTTAAGCTTGTTGTTTTGGTTTCTTCAACCTCACTTTTAGCAGCAGCAGACAGTTCGGTTTTGTGAAAAAGCTCTACATACATCCTACACTGGCAGCAGACAAAGTTAGCAACATGCGGACGGGCATAATGGAGTGTTTAACAGCTAAAAAGGATTCTCGCAGGGGGTGGTGGAGACCAAAACAGAGCATATTTGACTCACATTTGCAGACTGTCCAAGCAGCGCTGTCACTTTATGTGTGCTGAACTGACAACTGGTTGCATTTTTCTCTGAATAATAGGAATATTATGTCAAAAATGTAAATATTATGGTCAAAAAATGTGTTAACGCAGCTTTAAGATCTGGGTTTTAGTTGATTTAGCAACACAAGGGTTTGACATGATTAAAACAGAACAACATATAGCACTATGTTAGCATCAGGTTCCATAATAAAAATGCAAAGTAGCTTTTGTATTTTAAGCTAAATAGGTTTTTGTTTAAATTCAACACTGTGCTTCAGGTGCAATTAAAAAACTAATGCACCAGTCGTGATCAAAACCCCACACAGTGCCTTTAAATTCGAACGAGAACCTGCCAGGTTTAGGAGGAAGTGACTGTAGTAAATGAAAGGTCACCACAGTTACACAACACCAATGTGTGTATGAGAAAGAAAAAAAAAAAAAACAGAGACATCTTGTCCCCTGGGATGGGACACCTCCGTAAACCGATATGCGGTAGGAGATAGGGGAAAAAATAGAAAAGAAGCAGAGAAGGGAGAAATGATGGATAAGGAGAGGGCAGAGAAAAGAGAAAGAAAAAAAAAAAACAGGAAGGGAATAAGAAGTCAGGTGGAAAAATCCCGAAGAGTAAGAGGAGATCATTACATAACAAACTATTGTGAGAATTGGAACATTGCACATACACACAAAAAAACCCTGATGATAATCACTGTAGCCCATTATGACGAGGAGGAGTTGTCTCTCTTGACCTCCACCACACCCTCTGCAGCGGCCTTAATATGAACAATACGGTCAGGGGCAGACAGTTTGGACGCTGTCCTGAATGTGTGCTCATGAGAATCGAATCCAAATCAAGTCCTGGTGCTCGACTGAGTCATCAGGTTTGGGATGGAATAGCAAATCCTGAACTTGCAAACTTCTGCCTTAAATTCATCCATGTTATTTGCATTATATAAGAGAAGGGAAACCTGACAGCTGAATGGTGACTAGGGCACAAATCATATAATGCTGTTAGCAGTGAGTCCCCAGTTTGATTCCTGGTTGCCTGAATCGTCATTAGCCTCAATAAAGTTAATGCATTATCAGTGTTTTTTAGAATCTGAGCAGCACCAGTGTCTTTCTCACATGCAGAATTACCCTGTGCAACGTCTTATTTTCCACATTCAAGGGAATCTATAGAAGAATTTGTACAATATCAACAGTGCTTATGTATATTTCTGGTTAAAATTTGTACTGATTTCTGCAACATCCACTTTGCTGCTGTAGCGATGCAAATTCCCCCACTGTGGGATTAATTAAGGCTGATTTTTACTGCGTGTCGGTCCTGTGCTCTTTCCCCACATTTGGTCGAATTCATTTACTGAACAAAATTTGCAAAAAAAAAAAATTTGTAAGCAGCTTAACAACAAAATTAGCAGCTCTATAAGGCCTTTTAGAGACCTGTTTTGAGCCATATGCTAACGTTAGCACACGGTGACAGCTGCTGACACTTACCTGGTATAATGATTATCATATTTGCTAACATGCTAACATTTGCTAATTAGCACGAAAGACAAAGGGAATCCCATTTATTTTGCATAAATTAACATACTTTGTCATAAACCAAAAAAAAAAAAAAAAAAGCGAAAGATTTTAAAATTCAGTCCAATTACAATTCATCCAGAGAAGACATGAGCGTATGTGCCAAATTCTGTCACCACCACAAATTTCAACCTCATGTTAATGCTCGGGATCATCAGTGTCATAAACTTCATCCTCAGGGGACCACGAATGACTGCGGATAATGTTTTGGCGCGTAGTCGTTGCGATATTTCAGTCAGAATGGAATTCATGGACCTCAGAAACCTGTCGCTGGAGAGGCAAACAACTAAATAAACACATAAAACACTTGTCCTTTTTTTTTAACGTACTCGGCTCACTTAACTCTACCCACGTTATGTAACAGGTCAGAGATGCAACACACACACATGTGCACCTGCGATACTTGGAACACGATGAGCAGGGTTTCTGTCGCCTTGTTGTATTTCAATCTCTGTCTCTCTGAGGAGAAACAATCTGGGACAGAATGAGAGGGAGGAATGAGATGGGCGAGCCTGAGCAATCATGGAAGAGAAAGAAATATCTGTTTCATTCCCACTTTCCTGCGAGTGTGTGTGTGTGTGTGTGTGTGTGTCATGGCTGCAGGCAGTGTCTCGGGTTGTCAAAGTAGTCTCGATTGTGTTTCTTTTTGTGCGCATTCTTCAACGCAGATCACGACGTGTTTAAACCTAAAGGTGAGTGGATCATGGATGGCACTAAGTAATCTAAATGTGATCTCTGTTGACGCAGATGGTTTACAAAATCTAAAAAACTGTTGTAGTCGTGAGGGATCTTATGACGTCCATTGCCTGATTTTGACTCACAGCAAGATAAGCCCACTGGAACTAATAAGCTTAACAAGGGTTCAGTTTCATTTAAGTCCCAGAACGCCACACGAGTGAGCAACCAGACACAAACCCATGAAAAAGGTCTGACAAGCAAATGAACCGATCACGTGTGTTTTCACTTATTCTGACTGATTAAACCTCTGCTCAGGTTCAGGTTCTGCAGGGCCACAAGGTCATCAGCATCTTAGATACAACTGAACTTACAGGAGAGTGGTTTACAATTAAAGTGAAAGCAGATTTCTATAATCTAATGTCAAATAATTAGAAATATAAAACATAAAATTAAGTGTTTTCATCAGTATTTAACGTGACTCATGTAATTCAACACATGTGCAGCCAGCTGGGGGTCGAAGTCACACAAATAGGGAAATGGAGATTATCTGAGCCAGTCAGTGTGTCTTAAGTGATTGTAGTGTAAAGACAGCTGTATGTTGAAGGTCTAGTCACCGGTGAATCACTACACCATGAAGGAAAACAAAAAGAACACTTCAAGCAACTCCGTGAAAAGGGGATTGAAAGGCATAAGTCAGAGGATGAATGCAAGAAATTTTCCAAGTCGCTGAAGATCTTTAGAGTGCAGTTAAACCCGTCGTTACGAAAGGGAAGGGATATGGCACGTGTAAATCTGCCTGAGTGTCTTTATGCTACAAACACAGACACATTCAGTGCACTCAGATGATCTCCGTTTCACTAATAGTGTGACTTTTAGCACCAACTGGCTGCACCTGTGTTCAATTAGGTGAGTCACTTTAAAGTGGTTTGGATAATGCACACTCCATATATATGTGTGTATATATATATATATATATATGCAGTATGCATTATCCACAGCCACTTTCAAGAGGCTAAATACTTGTGCAGAGATAAAAAAAGAGAGAGTCCAGATCTGTCCAAACCTTTTACTATATTTCACACACAAAAAAAACAGGTAAAAGGTTGTTTCTGTATCATGTTTGCAGACTAAAAACGATTCCATTTAAAACAAACAAACAAACAAAAAAACAGGGAAAATCTTGTTGCAAGATTGCTTGAATAAATATTTTTTAAAATGTCTGTAATGTTCAAAAACTCTAAATAAAAAAGACCAAAAATAACCATAAATAAATATTTACATATTATCAAATATTTTCAGTTTTTAAATTCTAAATATATTTTTTTCTTTCAAATCACAACAAATATGTGTAAAATGACAACATTTTTGCCTGATTTAAGTACAGCAAAAAAATAAAATAAAATAAAATAAAATCTGTCATTTTATGGTCTAGTGTTAAAAGAACAAGTTACCATTTGTAAAACAGAGAATTTTAATGATGGTATTTACAATTTTATTTGTTTTTAAATGTTAACATGAAAATTAATATTTTTTGATGAATTTGTGAGACAATATCTTTGATTTAACAGAGTGGGGAAAATTTGCAAAATAACAGATTAAAAAATGATTAACAATTTTCCTATCCTTATTATACATAATATTTATATTGATGTGTGATTATTTTCAGTTTTGACCTGAACTTTTTTCTTTAATTTTACTAGATATTATCTATAATTTATCAAATTAGTAACATATATAAAATAATGCAAAACTTTTCAATATGACAGTTCATGGGGTATATTCTACGTGAAATTTTGAGGTGTGCTATTCAGATGATTTGTGTTGATTAGATGCTAAAACTTCCTGCTTGGGGGCGTGGCCGTCACTTGAAGCGGTGGGCGGGGCTCATGTTAATATTCATGAGCGCGTGGCTGAGGCAGCGCACTCGAGGTGAGCGCTGGTTGAATATATCATCGTCCTCGCTACAGGGAGCAGCAGGAGGATGTGAAATTTCTACATTTTCAAGTTTGACACTGAAGGAAAGCAGCAGCAGCAGCAGCAGCAGCAGGCGGCCGGACGGACTCAGCAGCGGCTTCACTCACAGGTGCTGCAGCCGTGTGACAACAAAACTGCCTCATTTTAATGAGTTGGTTTTAAGAGCTGCTGTCCATCCGTCCAGCCAGCTGTAGACAGACACCCACAGTCATGATGGAGTCTATCTTAGACAGTTTAACAGCAGAGAAACTCTATCCGTCCGGAGGATCCAACCTGTTGGACCTGGAGGAACTCAGCGACGGAGATTTCCTCACTAACGTGGTGAGTCCTGCCTCTGATCACAGCCCTCAGCTGCTCATCATTTCCACAATTTCTTTATTTCTGCTGGAGGTCCGCTTGAATCCATCGCACCTCCGCTGCCTGTTCCGCCCGGAGCCGGACCTCAGCAGGGCGGTGCAGTTATTAGATCCTGACAGACATCCGGGGCTCAAACCCAGCGTGCGTGTGTTTGATTGTGTAAACTAACAAGTGTTGGCGAGTTACTGGTTAACTTGTGTGTGTGTGTTCAGCTGGCAGGTGTTGGAATATTCAGCAGCAGCACACCTGACTGGTAACAAGGTGTGTGGTTGCATCAGAACTTCCAATTAGGTTCTCAAGTGTTTCTCTTAATTAGATCCTTAATTGAGCCACATTTCCTCATTAGTTCCCAGCAATGTCTTTAACTTGTATTAATGTGCTGCAGTTGCCTCCTCAGTCCTGCTGCAACATCATCTTTTTTTTAAAGAGAGGACAGTTTGATCTTCGCCACCACCTGTTTCCTCCACTGCTTCCTCCTCATCCTCTAACAGCACCTGAGAAATCTAGTCTTTAAGCTCCACACTTGAAGAACTGTGACTATAATGAGCAATCAGATGTGCAAAATTAAATTAGAACCAGTAAAGCAAACTACTTTCTGCACAGCTTTTGTGTTGCATGTAAACACAATCAGGTCTAATTGTGACATCCTTCCTCATGCCATTCCAAGTGTGCTGAAGGTGTGCCGTGCACCTCCGGCTACACAAAATGCCAAAAAGTGTGCTGCCATGCCTCACTGAGCCGTGCACCTTTAATCCATAACAACACTGCTGCACTCTAAGAGGTTAATATCACAACACCATTAACTGTGTCAGCTTATTTCTGTCCTGTGCCTCTTTTTTCCACTTTGTGTCATCCCCTCTTTTTTTTTTCTAAACGCCGCAGGTTTTTTAGGCAGACCTCTATTCTAGTCAGTGAGTCAGCCGAGCAGTCTGCTTGTGGTTTGAACCCCCCCGTTTCTGTTCTAAATAAAGTAGTCCACTCTGCTGTGAAGCCACTAGGCTGGGCTGTACCACTGAGGACATGGGAAACGATGGCTGATTAGCTGCTCTGCAGGATATCATGATTATACATACTTTAGTGCGCATTTCAGTCTCCTGTTGACAGCTTCTAAAACCTCTGCATGTCAGTAATGAATATAATTATAATCAGAGGAGCTGGGGAAGCTGTATGCTGGAGGTTACCTGTAAAGTCTTTATTTTGTGTCTTTAACTTTTTGTTGATCTCTGGTGTGAAGCTCTCAAAGAAGTAGCAGTGAACACTTTGCTCATAGATTACTTTGATTGAATGGCATGTCACCATCTGTCTTTAGTGCTATCAAGGCAAAGCTCCTGTTAGAGTGATTATTTTTACTCACATATTTTGGGTTTCTGTTTTTCCTGAATGGCTTTGTCCATATTACTGCATGTATGTTGCATGTTTAAACTAACTAGGTGGTAGGAGAAGCAGTTAGTCACTCAGTTTTTGTTCTTTTTAGCTCAATTTTGGTCTCCTCCAACTTAGCTCGAATGGTTCACGTTACATGTAGCTGATTTATAAAAATAATAATTATGATATTCTCGAATCAATATAAAATTCAGCGTCAAATCATTGTAAAAAAGACAGTTGTATCCACTCAAACAGCTTCTTTTTCCCTCTAAAATATGATGTTTAAACTACATTTTAGAACGTCTGAGACAGTTTAAAACAGGAGCACCCTCAGGACAACAAGAGCATTCAGCCCATTTCTTTTATTAAGGTGTGCTCCGTGGTGCAGAGATTCTCTGTGTCCCTGCTCTGCGTTGTGTTTACCTCCTCCACTGCCCTGTTGATAACCAGGGGGAATACATGTGGGCAGCAGAGAGCTGATGGAGATTCCTTAAGCAAGTAATGAAGTGATTAGCTGCAGTCGCTGGAAATGATCTCCTGTTAAGAGACGCTTCAGTGATTTATCATTTTCAGTTCAGATGATAATATAGTTAACAATCAGCACTGCAGAGTTTCCAAGCATCTATCTGGCCACTGACACACCTCCTCACCAGACAAACAAAAGCAGGATTAACTTAAACTAGAGCTGCACATACACTGTCATCATGGACTTCTTATTTGAGAGTGAATTACCGACGCTGGACCGAGAATCATTCACGGATTGTACCACCAGCTGGGAGCTCGTAACAGGTTCCTTAAATCTTGAGGGAAACGGGAGCAGAGCTGCCACCGCTGGTTCCCTCATAATGGAATAATGTGCCATTCATTCTGTTATTTTAATCATTTGATCTATAGCGCAGTGCTCGGCTGCTCGCGGTGATGTATGCTGAGGCGTAACCATGGCAACAACAAATGCACCCTTTTAACTTTTTAATAACTGTTGGCCGGAGATGCACAGGAGACGGCCAGTTTTAGAATATGGGGAGTATGGATGGAAAAATCATGAGCAGCAAATGCTCATATTTAGGAAGCTGCAACTGGAGAATATTTAACTTTTTTTGCTTGAAATTGACTTCATAGCTCATTTTATTATGAAAATAGTTTGACAAATAGATTAACTGACACATTCCTGCAGCTCTTATTCATTATAAATGCATGTTTTCAATCACACACATGCACGAAATGAGGTCAAACGAGGACAGTGCCGGATATTGGAGCTGCAAAGTTTTCATTCTATTCGACTGCATTCTAGTCAACAAGCATCTATGCACACTTTCCGTCCTATTTTCACCGTCTCATCCTTTTTTTTTTTTAATACTCCGCTCTCTCCATCCGCCCTCCATCAGATTCTACTTTATTCTATTCTACTCTCCATTCAGACCCTGTACTCCAGCTTTAAAGAGACACACCCATCTCATTTGCATGCCCGCCTCCGATTGGCTGCTCGGCTGCCAGAAGGAATGTGTGCAGGCATGCAGCACTGTGTGTGTGTGTGTGTGAGCAGGAAAAATACTTTTCTACTGTTTTATTGGGAACTATAGCTCACTTCTGTCTCGGCGCACACATACTAACCGCTGCTGCTCTCTCGCTCTGAAATGTAGTTCAACTGAGGCCAAATCCAGCCAAGCCACTGCAGCCGCTGAGCACCACATGAAGCCAAATACAGTAGAGAACATTGCCATTTTCTTATCTATGGCAGGCAGGATTACAGGATAATTACCTGATGTTTTCAGGTCTGTCACATTTGCAATTTATTTCAACACGACAAAAAAAATGTCAACCGGTCATGCTCCATTTTTTGCTGCCTTTCGGTGTTAAATTGTCCGCCAGTGCAGAGATTAATCTGTTTCTAAAGGTTACAGTCGTGTTAATATATAGAGGGTTTTCTCAACTAATCATTTTGTCCATAAATTGTGAAAAATGCCAAAATCCAAAGATGTTTAGCTTACAATCGTATCTGGCAAAGAAAAGCAACAAGCAAATGATAAATGATCTTTAAAGATGAATCACTAATGAAAATATTAGCAGATGAATTCTCTTCTCGAAGCTTCTACTCTGATGATTTCCCAGCTTTTACTGAAACCTCCTCAGAAGTCTCCCCTCAAACGATCGCTTTTAATTTGTTTTTTCATTTATGGTGGGAAAATGAAATCGCTGCATCGTAAATTTGTGCTAACTGAAAACAGTCGGTGAGATTAAGTTGAGTGCAAGTTAACAGACGGCTAAACATAAAACATGTGGCACGCTTGCTTGTGTAGTCTTTTAGCTGATATTGATCATTTACAGAAAAGCCTTTCAAACAAGGGTTAAGGCTTCAGTGGCGAATACGTCTCTTTGCACAGGCAGGATTTGTGTTTGGTGGGAAAAATAAATCTTGACTAGGGCTGCAACAGTTGTTCTCTGACTTAATTGTCACTGAATATTTGCTAGTTTCTTTTGTAAAGTAAATATCTTTAGGTTGTGAACAGAACAAGACATGAGGGGACGCCATCTTGGTCATTTTTGGACCTTTTATTGACCAAAAAACAAATCGATTAAGCAAGAAAATTGTCCACAGACTCATCAGAAATGAAAATAATCGCTCTGAACTTTCATAAATTTGTGCGTCAGATTCATATGCATTGAGGATACATTAAACTGAACCTAATTCTTGCAGAGTTTTGGATGTACACCTTCTTGTGCATTGCCATTAGGTATGTGTGTTTATGACATGGCAAAAAAGACAGCAGTGACTCAGCAGAATGTAATCACCAAGTTTGTCTAACATGACGCTGCATTTCCTGCAGTCTGGTGTAAAAATGCAGCAGCTTTGCCGCCTTAAAGTTCAAATTTTGCATGCAAGCATCCTCATGTAAGGATTTCATTCCTTTATTTAACTGTTCTTTTATCTCGTATTTGTTTATGACAACATAAAACCCGCCGTCAACGTTTTATTTGCCTGCAGTTTGCGACTGATAAATGATCGGCTGTTACAATCTTGAAGGCTGAATGTGAGACGACATGACTGCAGGAATATATTTTTTTCGCTTTATTTTCCTTTGGCCTTTACATGATGTTCTGGAGATTTTTACGATACTTTCCACTGCAAATGTTCATTCCGCAATGACATACGCTCCTTGGCCCGGGTCTCGGTAATCCACTTTGTCCCCGAGCTCTCCAAACTTCGCCGAACTTCACATGCGGACCAGTTGCTGGTTATTCTGCCTGTTTCACCTGAACCGGCGAGGCAGCCAAATGAAAGGAAAGGAGAGAGATGTGTTGAGACTCAGCACCGTTAATTACAGGCATCACCGAGTCACTCTCTGCATTTCTAATTACTCCTTGCATGTGTCTTTCCCAGCTCTCTTTGTGTGGTTTACATCTCAGCTCCGTCCCTCCTAATGACACACCAGCACCGAAATAAGCCATAAAACCTGTCAACTGCTTTTTAACACTCTTTCTCTCCCTATTGTGGTTCTTTTCCCAGCAGAGAGGGCAGTGTTTCAGGTAATGACAGGTCCAGACTTCAGTTCCTCTGTTCACACTGACTGCAGCTGTTCCAGCATCAGGCATCTGAAGCC